CGGACACACTTTATTGCAACTTCGGGTAAAAGTGAAAAAAAAAAAATTCTCACCTTTCCGATTCCTGATCCTCCACGGATGGGTTTGGCGTTGGATTGCCAACATGAAGAGGGAGGATTTGCCATCGAACTTCTGGCCAGAGAAAAAACACGTAATATGTAGCCAACATTTGGAAGAAGAATGTTTTCAAGATGACTTGGATAATAGTGACACACACTAGATACAGCACTGGGACTTGATCAACGGCCGATACCACACTATGACGTCACAAACCAGTAGGTAGCAGTAGTGTTCTTTGACAAACATGGATGCCTCCAGTAAAGCACATTTAAATGAAAATTACTCTTAATTAAAACACTTATCATTTATTGAACAGTATGAAATAATTTCATATTTAAAGTACTTTCAGAAGTTTGAATTCTGAATATGACCGCACTTTTCCTTTAAAATAAATTGGATATTCATCAAACTAAACATCTAAGACATGTTATAACCACAAGGCTTCAAACTTAAACTTAAATTAAGAATACTTAAATACATTCCAAAATCTGGATCTCTCACAGGGAACAAATGAATTAGGCTTTTTATCTGACAATAACATACTGAGTATTTTGAAAAATCTAAGCCTCTTTTCCCTTATCTATTTTCATATCAATCCTCAGTGATCAGCAGATTTTTTCAGCTTTTTACCTCCTATCTGTCCTTTCAGTGTTTCTCCTGAAACACTAGTTTCATCTTATTGACCATCATAATCTAGGCCTCTATTGGTAGCTGTTGAGCTCAGTGTTTTGCTTGTTGGGGACACTGTTTCTGTTGTGCATCTTTTCTTTCCTCACAGTAAATGTTGTTCCCTTCCATGTTGATACCCTGTAGGCCCTCCAGGCTCCAGCCTGTCATGAGAATCTGGTGAAGGTGGGAGGTTACATTCTTGGGGAGTTTGGAAACTTGATTGCTGGTGACCCACGGTCCAGGTACTGACTGCATCAGTGGATATTTTAGCACCTTATCTTTTAACCTTTAAAAAATTTTAACATTTATAAAAATAAAAAAAAACCCTGTGTGCAAACATACAGACTTTTTAAAACCTTTTTTTCATTTAATGTGAGCAATGTTGTAATAATTGCATGTTAATTAGCCTTTAAATCAATTTTTAACAATGCAGTTTTATGCAACAGACTTGTTTTTCAAGGTTTAATTTTCTATCATATCTTTATTTCCAGCCCTCTGGTCCAGTTCAATCTTCTTCATTCCAAGTTCCACTTGTGTTCGGTACCAACTCGGGCTCTGCTGCTCTCAGCTTACATCAAGTTCATCAACTTGTTCCCGGAGGTTAAAGGCACGATCCAGGATGTCCTCCGTTCAGACAGCCAGCTCCGCAACGCTGATGTGGAGCTACAGCAGCGAGCTGTGGAATACCTCCGGCTCAGCTGCATCGCCAGCACAGACATACTGGTTAGTAAAAACTCTGCAAAAAGAGCTTCAGTCTGATGCAAATACTGTAAAAAAAAAATGTAAATACTGAAGATGGGTTTTCTCCTCGTTCAGTTAAATTCAGTTTATTTCTATAGCGCCAATTCACAACATGTAATCTCAAGGAACTTTACAGTTCATCAGATCATCAAGTCAAATTGATTTAAAGTTTTCTATCTAAGGCAAACCAGTTGATTACATCGATTCATTGACTTGAAGGCAATCCCTCACGCCAAACATGCTTGTAGTGACAGTAGAGAGGAAAAACTCCCTTTTAATGAGGAAAAAAACCCCCAGCAAAACCAGGCTGAGTGTGAGCGGCCATCTGCTGAAGCCGACTGGGATTCAAGGAGACAGAAGAAGACATAGAAAAACAAGAAGAGATAGAAAAAAGGTAACTGTCAACCAGCTCCACAGCCAGGCAGACGAGCTCCGGGCCAGCTCCCAGGTAAGAGGACGAAGAGAGCACATCCAGCCAGTCACAGTCAGAGAAACAGGACTACACTGTAAAATAGCCCGAGCTCAAACATCTTTAAACAAGGGTGTTTATAGCAGCAGCATAGCAGGAACTGGCCAGATGAAGCTACTGTGAGAAAAAGCAATTCTGCAGAGTGCGAGAATTATATGATAAAAAAGGGTCTTTATACAGCAGCATAACTATAGAGATGGGTATAGTTGCTGTACATCCTAGTTATACATTAATGGTAGACTTTTTACATTTTTAAACAGGGCGCGTTTATTAAAACCCTACTTGCTAAGCTGGTAGCAACATAGTTTGGCAAATTACATTCCATTATTTTAGCAACTATGATTAAGGGAAAGCACTTCAGCTAATACCACCTCATTGAAAGGCCGTAGACACTATGATTATAGAGTCATCATTGTTGTTTATAAAACCTTGCCATTAAATTCTAATTGTGGTCTCAGCCTTGATAACATGAGGTTAGCTAACTTTAGCTGAGAGGCACAACTGTGCTACAGAATTAAGTCATATTAAAAAGGAAATACTGCCATTTCAACATGTTCTAGAATCCAAAATTGTAGCCACGTTAATAACATTTGTAAGAAGCCAAACCATTTTTAAATTTGTCTTTATTTCAGTGAATTAAGTAGATTTGTGTTTGTACCAATCGTTCACCTTCACTCTCCTAGGAAAGAAACTGCCTTTAGTAAGATGGCTGCCGGCGATGCCATCAGTTAAGCCACCATAAGAGTTCCATCAATCATGTAGATGTCTATGGTTAGGTCTGCCTCAAACTTTTTGTGCCCGTTATACATGAGACATGTGATGAAATAAACAAATGAGATTGGCTGAGGATCTACTCTTTATTTTGTTAGCTAGAGCTAACAACATTAGTTAACTCATAGTTCTGATATATCTGGGGAAAAAGTTTTGATCCTGATGCTAATAGCTAACAGCCTCACTTAGAAACTGGAACTCTTTGTATCATAGCTCTCCACCTGGATTAGCATCTCCTAGCAACAGCAGCAGAACAAATACCAGCTTTCCTCAGTCAACTCTCCCCTCCTCCTCCTCTTAATGGCGTCTTGTGATTTCCACATTCTCACCAAATTCAGCTCACACTGATTCATAGTGAAAAGGTTGAACATTACTAATGGCTATTTTTATCTGGACGGGGCTGGCGCTACAGGAAGAATGAACAAAATTACGACCTCTGTGTGACAATATTTTATTTACATTTATTAAAAAATAAACATCTTACAGTATTTTTACCTTGTTATTTTTAACATTGAAAATACATATTTTGGATCAATTTAAAGCCTTTTTATCACCTACTCTTTATATTAGGTACATCCATTCCTCTGTTACCAGGTAAAGCGTTAAAAGTGACGACCCTGTAATTTACTGGGACCAATTTGTTTGTGTGAAAGCCGATAATTTTTGTTTACAGTAAAGAACCCAGTTAAAGGGATAGTTCGGTATTTTTGACATGAATCTGTATGGCATCCCCATCACCAGTGTCATGCAATCACACTGGCTTACGCCTGGCAGCATCCTGTGAGCAG